TAACAACACACACATTGCCCATAGAGTTTTAATGTGTTCCCCTAAACACGTAAGAGCCACATATAAGTGCTGCAGGTTAATCATTTTTACTCGGGAGGCACTTGTTCTTCAAGCAATGTTGAACTAACATATAGAATTTAAAAAAATAACCTTCAGATATGAAATATTTTTTTCAAGTCAAAGGGGCCTACTAAGTTTTTGCTTCCTAAATTGGCATCTTTAAAAGTGTTTTCTAAAGCAAAGGCTAATTTGAAATAACCAGTAGTTAATGGAATTAGGTTTGCTTCCCTGCGTGGTACTGATGCCATCTCTGGGAGCCAAGGATGGATGTGTTACCTACCAAGTCTTTTGGGGGTTGGGAAGGACAGGACTTAAGGAATAATGTTTGAGATCTCAAGCCAACAACACCTCAGCTTGACAAGAATGGCCAATACTGTGGTTCCAGCACCCTGGAAACCATCCTAAGGGAATGTCTGGGCCAAGTCTAGTGGCTGAGGTTGGTGCACAGCTTCCCCTCTGCGGGCCAGTGTTCTCTCTCTCCTCCCTCCCCCACCTTGGCGCCCACCATGAGTTGTTTGCTCCTCGTTTATGGAATTCATACGAGTCCATTTATACTGCTCTGCCTGAAGATGCGTTGCATGTGTGTGAATAATTTAGCCTTCCCACTTCTCACCCACTTCCTTCTGTGACTGGGAAGCGAAAAGAACACAAAAACTGGAGAACCGACACCACGCACTAATCTCAGTTGCCATGACAGCAGCCTTTGAGAGCCTGAAATGTTCCGATCGCCAGCTAAACAAAATTGTTGAATGTGAACATTTGGCTGGAAGATTAAAAGGCTAAGGGGAATGCAAAAGGGCAGAACCTCCCACATTCCCAGCAGCCAGGGGATCCAATCAAACAGCTCTGACTCCTTAACCACAGCATTGTGAGCACTGGATTAGGGCAATTCATCCAGATAGTTAAAGCAGATTAGAGCTGCAATTGGAAGACTATTGGCAACAAAAGTAAATGCCCCACTGTACTAAGAAATAAGAAGATTTCAAAACGTCTTTTGGTAGAAATTATGTGAAACCACACATTTAAACTAAGAAGCAAAACCTGAGTATATTTTTTTAAGTTCATTTAAATTCACCAATGTAAAAGGCTATCTAAGAGGATTTGGATTCAAAATGTAAGCAGTGGCCTTTTGCATGTTTGAGACTGTTGTCCACACCTTTCTTTACCTCCATCAGAGCCTAAATCAGAGCTTTAGTCCTATGTTCTAATTTAAAACTTGAGCATGAAGTCGAAAATAAAAGGGACCAGAGAACTGTGAATCATTTCATGCAGAAACAATTCCCAGGAGATTTCTCAGCATCACTTACAATTCTGATCAAGACAGAAAGGGGGAAATTACGTCGTATAATAAGCATATTTAGATATCACATTGCTACAACAAAGAAAATACTAAATCTGCATGCTACAACTTGTGGAATGAATCTAAACACTAATTTCATAGAAACACATCGCTCACCTCCCAGCCAATGTTCCTGATAGACACAAGCCCATCAGTTGCCAAACATTATCCCAAAGCAACTGCATCCCAGACCAACAAGACCCAGGCCTCCATGCCTAAGCAAGGTAACACTGGGGGCAGTTTTTCCAGTACAGTGTCTAACCACAGACTTTAAGACAATGACCAAGACGGGTGCAAGGGTCCAAGTGGCCTAAGTCAAGCACTGTTAAGTGTAGCACGCATTTCCAGGATTCCCCTTCGCTGTTGCCACCATGCCCCCTTCGGTTAGAGCGTCACATTTCAGGAACACGAGCCAAGTGTGCTTTCCAATTCTTACTTAACTGAGCTTCCGACTGCCCAGGCCAGCTAAATACCCAAGTGAGAGCATTCTTACAGCTCTAGCTGCAGACAGGTGAGAGAGTCAAAGGAGAGTCCTCACAGCCACCAAAACCATCACACTTTGGCTGTAGAGTTACGAAATCAGTGACCAACATTGCAAGACTGGAGTACATCCTTTGGCAGAACTCTTTTGGGGGAAAGTAACAGAACAGGGAGTGCAAATAACCCTTCACACTCCTTCCCACAGAGGGAACTAGAACCCTGTTCCTAAGGACACGTCGTTAACAATAACACAGACGCCAATCTCCTGAGGGAAGAAACCAGGACGAAAGTCAAGCTAGTGCTGCAGCAGGTTTTCTATTCAAAGCACGCGGACAATTTGCTGGCTGGCCAGGAGCCCTTGCAAGGCAAAAGGCACTTAGGACACTCGGGACCTCCCACCCCATGACCTTTCAAACCTGGCACCACAAGCAGCAGAAGCAGCAGCAGCAGTAGAAGCAAGAGCCAAACACTGCACTCCGGATAACACCCATAAAGGATGACCGGCATAGAAATCACGGAGAACCCGAAAGCACTAGGAAGTGTAAGGCACCCGGAGGCACATCCCACATCCCCAAACAGATGCACACAGAGTGGGACACACAAGAAGGCGACCTTATCCTACCTTCTCGGTTTTCAGTTTCTTGATTCGCCTGTGGTTCTCCTCCTCCTCCTCTTCCTTTTTGACCAACATAGAGTTTCCCATGAGCGCCGAATCCGGAGCACTTTTGCTAACTTCCCCTGCAGCCGCAACGCTGCCACTCCCAGCGCCCCCGCAGTGGAAGGGGCTCGCACCACTTCCATTGCTCTTGGCCCCGAAGCCATAGAGGTGACCACCGGAGGGGGCCGGGCCTCCGCTGCCATTCTGGTGGACCTGCAGCAGGTCGTGCTTGTCTTTCCGGGATCTCGCAGCATCTTTATCCCGTTTGGCGCCTCGGCTGCTGTGGTTTTTCCCTGGCTTCTCTTCCTTGCTTTTCCCACAGGAGCTTGCCCCCGTGGTGGCAGCCGAGGTCCCGGTGCTGGTACCGTTGTTATTTGGGTTGCCGCCGCCGCCGCCGCCGCTCACACTTTGACCCAGCGCTGAATTCATGCCAGTAGCCTCTCCAGGGCGCCCTTGGACTTCCTGCCTCTTGCCAGTGCTGCTGATCTCGGGAATTCCATACAAGGCAGCAGAAGGCAGAGATTTATTAGCATCCTTAGAAGTTTTAGCCCTTTTCACTTTTGATTTGCTGGTCTCTTTGTGTGGATTCCCCTGGGGAGCGGAGGGCTGAACAGAAGCAAATTTTAGGCCATCAGCTAAGGCTGAGGTAGCACCGGTCCCATTGGAGGCCGGACCTCCACAGTCCTTAGTGTTGCTGTTGGTAGTGCAGTTGGTGGGATTATTCATCTCAAATTTCTGTCTGTCCTTCTCCAAATCGGCGTCCAAATCAATGATTAAATTTCCAACCCCGATTTCCCAATCATCGCCACTGTCATAAGTATCAACTGTATTTGGATCCACACCTTTTCCTGCAGTCGAAACGTTCACGGACATCCTGAAGATGAGTTCTCTAGATTAAAAATCCGATGAACTTTCCTTGGGAGATGAGGGGACATTCGTTTAGCTCCGCTGGGCTTTTTCTTAAAGAAAAAAAAAATCCTTCCAATCTTCTCCTTTTTCCTACTCCAAGAATGTGTCCAGAGATCTCACACCCTCACTCCAGGTCCACCATCTCCTGTGGAGGGGGGAAAAGTCGAATATTTCTTGTCTGGATGTTACCGGCATAGAAAACGATTCATAGCAGGGAGTCGGTGAGGGGTATAAGGAAGAATAGAGAGTAAGGGGCTCATTGTTGTCTCCAGTCCAATACCAGGTTTAAAGGCAAACAGGCAGACTTGAACAGCACCCCTGACAATAAGCATCTTACAGAAGCTGAAAACCCCTCTAAACAACAGGGGTATAGCCAGTTCTTTAAAAGCATTAAAATATCTCCAAGGATCTGATTCAAGCCCAGAAAGATTTTTGTGGCTTTTTTTTTTTTAAGTTGAACATTTTTGCCTGGCACATGGGCTATTTCAACCCCAGGAAAAGATCATGAACATTCAGACAAGTAAAACACACTGTTAAACATCCCTAAACATATCTTGGCTCTTGCAGGGTAAATAACCAGGCCCTGAAAGTTCTCTGGGACCCATGTTCAAAATGATGTCACTAAATTTTTTTTCTTTCTAATTTTAATACTACTTAAAATTGCCTGTGTAATGTAGTTTTGTTCCCCATAAGAAACGGGGGGGGGGCAACAGTAGTCCCCCTCACACACACATAGATACCACCCCTTTCTCCCCCACCCCCAGTCAAGCAATTCTTTCTGAAAAATATACAGACCTCTCTAAGAGTATTTCTCTCAGTAAAAAGACAGTGTGAGCAGAAAGGTTAAATATCTGCCTTTTTAGAAAAAAGGGAAATTCATCTAAACAATTTTGCCATAACCCTGGGTCACAGACCTGCTCAGTCTGTTAAATATGGTGCTACTGACTATAGGGAAACTGATTAAGACATACACTTTAGGTGATCTGCACCACGGTGGCCTCGGTGACCACAAATGACTGTGTTTGACAAAGAGCAGTTAAAACAGTTTTTAAAGGGATCAGCCCCCTTTTAACAGTTGTCAAGAAAATAAATAAATATACATACACCACACACACACACACACACACACAAAATGCTTACCTTTTAATCCTTTACCATTTTTTAAAATTTGGCCCGAAAATCAAAAGGTATTTCTCACGCCAATCGGCACACAAGCCTGTGCCTCATTTTACTTAAACACCAAATGATCAAAAAGGAAAAAAAAAAAAAAAAACAAGTAACACACCTCAGCCAAAATAATCACTCAGTAACATTATTCCACTTCCCCATCCCCCTTTTGGCAAAAAGGTCTGGAGTCCTTTTCTCCTTTAAAAAAAACGTGTCACTGTGCAGCTGGGAGAGGCTTCCCATTCACAACCCAAGCACCAAAGGGTGTTTTTCCTCTTAACAAGCATTCGGAATAATAGGGTGTTGAGAGAGGGGGAGGGGAGGGAAGGGAGGGAGGGAAGGAGGGAGGAAGAGAGAGAGAGAGAGAGAGAGAGAGAGAGAGAGAGAGAGAGAGAGAGAGAGAGAGAGAGAGAGAGATTAGAGAAAAAACTTTTCCGAACTTCGGATTCCGCCTTCAGTTGCAGACTTCAGAGTCACCGTGATCAGTAAGTAATGATCTCATGTAGCAAACCTACAGGCGTCCTCTAGTAACGAGACAGAATGTGCTAACATCGGGATAAATTAGTGAAAGGGAAGAAAGAATAAGAAGAAAGGACTGAAAATCTGGGCTGGATTCCGCCTGTTAGTCGGGAAGTGGCATTTTTTCCGCCCGTCCTGACATTTGATTTCTCCAACTAACTTACGCAGGGGGTGAAAGGATGAGGGTGGGGGAGGAGGAGGAAGGAGAAGGAGGAAGAAAGGGAGGGATGAGGAGCTGGGCTGGTGGAGAAAAGAAAGGTGTGGAGGAGGAGGGAGCAGACGAGGCAGGGAGCTGATAAACCAGTTAGAGCAGCTTTCGCCCGGGGCGGGGGGCGGTGGAGCGGGGAAAATAACGGCGTCTGAAAGGGGCTGTCTTGGAAACCTGAAGGATGTGATGTTTTCCTGTTTTATGTTGTTTTTGAGAAAAAAAGAACCGAGTTCTTAGAATAGTCCCCGAGGAGGGGTTAAAATCCTCCGCCGCGCAAGCCGATCTGTCATGTGGTAATTCGATAATTAGAGTCAAAAAGATTTTTTTTTAAGGCGACCTTTTTCCAGGACAATTTTTCCCTCTCTGCACGCAGCAAACAGCGCGTCTCTATTTTTTCCTCCTCTCTCCACCTCTCGCCCACCCCCTCCTGTGTTTAGTCAGATGGCCTCAGAGCTTGGCTTAGTATTTTTAATTAGCTGGCGTTTGGAAGCTAAAAGCAGTAATGAATTGTTGATGGATTGGAAGCGGAGAGTCGCTTTGCTGGAAATGTCGGGGCTGGGAGAGGGGGATGGGCGCGTTAGCAACACCAACCATCTAAAAGGAGCGATTTTGTTACAGTGCAAGCCTTTCACATCACGTGAGGATCAAGGGCTCAATTGGTTGTCGTGAGAACAAAAATGGTGACAAGCGTATCAAGAAAATACTGATCTGGTCTTTAAAAAAAAAAAAACTGAAGGTCTCTCCCTCCCCCCCCACGCCACCTCCCCCCCCCCCGCACGCCCTGCAGTGGGCGAAGCTACAAGTTCTGAATGTGAAACATTTCTCGGCCATCTAGGATCTCGGAAGTAAATGTAATGGCCACAAGAGCAAAGCAGATGTTTTAAAGGAACACCTTATAAACCTATCCTCAACTGATCTCCAATTTGTCTGCTTTCCCAAAGGGGTCAGGGGGCGGACGCCTGGGGGAGGGGGCAGGATACCTCGGAGTTCCTGCGATTTTTGTGACCCCCCCTCCCCACTTCATGTATTAAACAAAGAAAAACATTTTGCTAGCTCCCAAACCCAGCCTTGTAATAAACACACCATTGTTACTATTTGTGGGTTTGTTTGGGTTGGGTGGGGCTCCCCCCCTTTCTCTTAATGGTGTTTTTTTTCTTCCTGCCTTTTTTTTTTTAAAGAAGATGGAAAATGGTAGTTACAGCCATTACATGTAATGGATGAATATTCCCTAGTTTACTATTAAATTACTGAGCAGGAGGATGTGACAGGAGAGAAATCGGCTTGTTCTACCCGGGTTCCCATTTGCCTGCCTCGGTCTGGGCGGGGGTCTGCTCAGCTCCGGTAGGAAAAGGGAGGAGGGGGAAGGTGCGCTAGAGAACTCACGCGGCGGACCAGGGTGTGTAACTGAATCACTCCTAGTTTCCTTTGGGTTAGAGCCCAAAAAGGTAATTTACTCTAAGTTAGCCCAAGTGCCCAGTCAGGCTTAATTTGTCTAAAGAAGTTACAAATGCTTCACCCTCCACTGGATAAAATTCACCCTTCTTGGGTTGTTATAAATGCAAAGCCAAACCCTGTAACTAGTTCCTCATTTCAATGCATAAAACTCGCACATTCCCCTGCATGAACACCCCACTAAAGTGCTACAGAGCGACACACCACGCAACCGTACTTACGGTCTGTATGGGAGCGAGTTGACCTTTTCCTTCTAACTGCATTGAGTGTGTTTGGTGGCAGCCGCTTTATTTTGGAAATTATAATTTCTTCAATTTTTTTTATTATTAAAGATGAACCAGCAAATGTCACAGACCGTCCCGTGTATTTTTTTTATAAAAAAATAAAAAAAAACAACAACAAAATAAAGCAAAATCCCCCCGGTGCACACACACACACCAAGCTTGTTCTGGAAGAGTGGAATCAGAACTGAAACACAACACACGCACAGGGGAGTGGAGCCAAAGGAGCTCTCAGCCTGTGTACCTGAAAGGGACTTTTCTTTGTTCCCAATGCCCTTTCGCATCGGGCCAATCAGAAAGCAGCTTTTATGAAACTGGGCTCTCCCATTGGCTAGCTGCTTTCTCTTGGCTACTGTAGGGGGTTGAGATATACACACGTATAAAACACACACTGAGCGCGGGTGGGGGTGCGATGGGGGGTGGCGGTGGAGACAAAGCGTTTTATTTTCCAAGCAGATTGGGGTTGCGGAACCTCCCGCAGGACGAAGGGAGGGGGAAAATGGGGCGCCTGTTTCAATTACTACATCATTCACATAAAACACTTATTTATTAAAACACATCTCAAGCAGGCTACGAAGAGAGGATGTCGGTAAATGCAAGTTTGATTGTGTTATCTTGGGGGAAATAATGTATGTGATCGCTCGGTGGCAGAGGGAAGCCAGCTGAGCCACAGGCGCAGAGCGGGAACGCCGCTCCGTGGAAACCCACGCGAGCGGTTTGCTGTTGTCCCTTCCATGTCCCAAGGACTCGGTAACCCCTTCTCTGCAGCTTCTGCCTCGCAGCCCTCCCCCACCACCTTACTCTTCCTGCAAGAAAAATCTCTCTCTCTCTCTCTCTCTCTCTCTCTCTCTCTCTCTCTCTCTCTCTCTCCTCTCCCCTACCCCCCCCTCCCGGAAGGCGTTCGGTGATGGGGGAACAAGTAACCCTTTTGTTTCCAGGCTTCGCGTCTAGAAGAACTAACGTGTGGACCCCGACGACCATAAAGCCAACCGAATGAATGGCTCTCTTAAATTAGCAACAAATCTCTTCTCCTGATCTTCTGCGACTCGAATAAATAAATATAAATCAAGGCCTTAGACCAGCCTTATTAAAAAAAATAAATCGATTTGTAGAAGATAAAATACACTAGGCGTATTAACCCCTTAAACAGCCCCTGTCCTTAATTTTTAACCGTCTGGATGATCTGTCAGAATTCTTTTCTCAAATCTTTAACTCTGGAGTGGACAGAGATTCTAAATTCTCTGAATGCTGTGTCCACAACCCACAAACGTACAAAATGTTCTCACTTTTATGGTAAGACAAACGCAGCCACGTTAATGGGACTCGTTTTCCAGGACAAGAGGCTAATGTGAAATAGCAACTCGATATATTTAAGCTAATGTAGTCTTACATAGTAAGCCTTTAGAACACGGTTTATTTTTAACTTCGTGTTGCCATTTTCAATTATTTTAGGAGCTAGAAGGTGGAGATTTTAAAATCATGTAGCCTGTGAATTTTAATTAAGCCCCAAGTTTGAGGGAGTGGGTATCACTGGAGCTTCTCACTAGACCATTGGAGTCTGAGATGGGCCTTCGCTTAGGCAAAGGGGCACACAGGAAATTACCCTTGGCAGAAGACAGCTGTGATGTAAATGTTTGGTGGCGACTTTGTGGATCAATAAAAACATTTATGCCACATGTTATAAATAATGGCTATTGACTAATGTTTGTGGTTTTAATATATTTAGTCCATTAAAAAAAAGCCAATTTGTTGTTTCACTGCCCTAGATGAACTAAACTAGATGTTGCAAACATTAACAAACAGTGATTTCTGACCTTTATAGGAGTAAGGCGGAGAATGCGATCTATAGGCGTGCTTGGCTCGCCCGCCCAAAGTCCTTTTCACTCCAATTGAAGCTGTACATTAACAAATAATCTGGGGCAGACTGGATGCCTAATGTCCACCCATCTACCATTTTAGCACTGATGTCTGTACAGTATTTCTGACTATACAAGTTTTGCTTTTGTGTATTAGTAACAGGATAATACATATGGAGTCTTAACGTCTCTAAGAAGTGTGGTTCCTCAAAGACCATCTCAGTCTTGTGCACTTCCTGTGTCCTGGGTGTGTCTGTGTGTCTCCATTTCGGGTTATGGTAACCCCATACGTTGTTATTACTTTAGAAAAAAATTAATCCTTAGCTCTTAAGACAAAATTACTTCACAAGGTATTTAAACATCATCTATCGACACTTTCCTAAAAAAAATCACAGAGTTGGATTACAGGTTTAGTATAACCGGATCCAAAATTTAACCATTGAGATGTGTACTTGAATCTAGCCCTGATTTCAACACCAAAACCTAAAAATTAAACACCACTGGCCAAAGATGAAGGTTTATGCCCAACTTGATTACGGATTTAATTCAAGTTATTTTGGAAATTAAAGCCCTTTTTCTTTCCATTTTAACATTCCCTCAGTCCTTTTTTCTCCACCCCCATCTCTCCCACTCCCCAGATTCTTCCAGGCGACTTCTGAACAGACTATTGTCACACTGGCTTTGCACGTGTTTGGCTTTTGCTTTGCTTGACGAGGGGTGGGGGACAGTCAAGAGGCACCAGAGGACACACAGTTAATAGAAAACTGAAAGAAAGATAATTAGCTACTAGCTACTCTCCACCCTCACGAAACAGAAAAGTTTGGTTCTGTTTACAGAGCTGAAATGTTTCATCTTGATTATTTAATGTTTTTGAGAACTTCACAGTATTCTTATATTTACATAATATCCACCCTTACGGTCCGCCCCTCCCACTCCTCCTGTGCCCTCTGGTCTCTTTCAAATTCCTGCCCTCTTCTTTATCATTACCTGTATTTCTTATCAAGGTAACGTGTCGGGGAGTGTCCCTGTCTTCCTAGCGGAGTCTACTGCATTTAAGTGATTAGACCAGTGGACTGTTTCAGTGCACACTTGTAATTTTACGTTTCATTGGGTGTCTACCCAGAGACACGTGAGACAGAGCAGATGGCTGGGAAAAGGGGCAGAATTGAGGGGTGGGGGAAACATGAGGTTAGCGTAAGGAAGGTAATTAAAGCGTGTCATCCTACCTGCAATAGTAACCACCACCACCCCTCCATGGGCGCCCAAATCAGCTCAGCGCTGCATGTAACACATCATTAGCAAGGAGGTGGAATCCTGGCAGGAGACTGGGTTTTTTATTTTGTACCTGCAAAGAGCTTAAGAGGAGGCACCACAGAAAGTCAAGGTGGTCTTTATTTGTGACTCTTCTGATGTAGGGGTGTATTATTAAGGGCCAGAAATCAGTTTTACTTCCTTTCCTTTTTTTTTTTAATGTTCATTTCACTAGTTAGCCCAGGCTCTGCCTTCCGAATGGTGTGATGATAATATGCCATCATGCCCCTCAGAGTTTCTTGAGTTTTAATTTACTTTGGGACAAGTCAAATCTACACATACCACACGCTTGGGCGTCCTTGGGACCAAGAGAAGAAATAGGAAGGGAAATCTTAAAATATGAATTCTATGTAGAAATTAGCTTAATTTATGGGGAAGGGAACTTAATTTAGATGTAATGAGAAGTGCACTGGCTACAAGACAATAGGGAAAGATTTGTATCTGCCTGGAGCCCTTAAGCAGTGGTCTTCGGGAAGGCAGTGGGCTGGGGACCCACTCCCTTCTAGAGAATGCGGCTTGATTGACACCCACACAAACATTAGAAGATCTTCACTCCTTTCGCCTACAGATGAGTGTTCCTAGTTGTTACAGGGACACTAAGGGAAAAAAGCAAACAAACAAAATAACAACAACAAAAAGCCCCCCCCCCAAAAAAAAACAAAAAAACAAAACCCTGCTGCCCTTTTCCCCTGCGTACGAATCCAACTCAGGTTTCCTTGGAGTCCTTTTAGCAATGCCTAGCTCCGGATGACTGTCATCAAAAAGAGCCGCGTAGTGTTCTTTTGGTCAAACATTTGATGTTTTACGTTATTCTGAAGTAACCTTGAACCCAAATAAAGTGTCAAGGGGAAAAAAGA